GTGGGGTGGGGGGGGTGGGGGGGGGGGGGGGGGGGGGGGGGGGGAACGGTGGGGGAGGGGAGGGGGGGGTGGTTTGGGGAATCCTGTGGTCTGTTCATAGCAGTTTGCATTTCTTCTCTTTCTTGCCTTGTGTGATAAACCGTTCTTTTTTAAAAATAAAGTTAATTTACCTCTGACGTTCTTTTGCAGATTATTTGTGCATATGTACATCGTATTAAGAAGTTGCATACAAAATAAAGAAAGCAAAAAAACTCCATTAAGTCTTTCAAAAGCATTCAATTCACAAATTACACTCTTCATACTTCTGACAACATCATCTCAAATGGGCTGCCTAAACCGTTAGCCCAGCATGCTTTTCCCACACTAGGTCCTATAAAGCTATTTATTTTCAGGGGATCTTTGTAACCCTTTAAAGGGAGCTTAAGAGGCTTTCAAAACACGTCTTTGATGTTAGCAAGCAAGGCTTCTTGTGGCAGTATTAGAGCAGTCAAGATAAGGTGAGCTGTGCGAGAGGGTGATATATTACTTGCGCAGATTCTTTCAAACCAAGCTTAAGAAAATTTCACAGCAAGCTTAGTTCATGGGACTGGCCTGATATGCCATACACGCAACGATGAGACTGGAAGAGTTCACTCGCAGTCTAATGTTGCTCTCTGCTCAACACCACTCTGAGAACATCTTTCAAATGACAATGGGGATCAAGTTATGTTCATAGAAAGTCAGATAGCCTGCTCTGTGCTGTACATTGTACATGATGGCTCAAGACTTTAGAGAGAGTATTATATAAAACAAAACATTTTGTACAAACTTATTTAAAATTCTTTCATGAGAGCTCCTGAGGTATTTTCACAAAGGTGTAGAGTTACTTCACAGTCGGAAGTATTTGACTTAAATGAGACACTGACTCTTTCTTAAGTAGTTTCCATCTGTCTTGGGCTTCAGGCCCTTGTGATTTTAAATGAGCTGTTACAAAGGCAGAAAAAATAACGAAGCCCAAATCCATCTGCGCTGCCCCTCCCCAGCTGCCCACAGAGCCAGTTGTAAAAGCAAACAAGCATTTTTAAAGGCGTAAGGAAGTAAGAACGCCATAACCCTACCTATTTCCTCTAAATGGAGTAGACTCTAAGTGAGGCATTTTTTTTTCTCACCTTAAGTGCTATAAAAACCATTTGGATGCAGTGTGCACATACATACAAGAGTATGTCACAGATGATGGCAATGATCACTTTGTAATCGGAGTCTAAAATCTCAAGGCGTCAAATCCAATGGCTTTATTTCTAATTCATGAGGATCAACAAGAAACATATTCTTACACTCAAAAAGCCTGTTAAATCATGACATAATGGGATGTTTCCAAGTGAGAATAAAATGCACGCTTTGCTGACAACACTTAAAACCCAGGGCTTCATACCACAGGAAATAGACAAAGCAAAACCCTCACGTATTAAGCTACATTTATTGTGTCAGCTTTCTACATATGATGCATCACAACCTTTTCAGGATGATTTCATGGCTGAGAATGTAAACAGATAGATACTTGTAAATGAAATATATCAAATCTTTTAACTAACTCTTTTTATTTAAATTGTAATCTAAGTGCGTTTAACAAATTGTCTCTTTCATCAGAATTCAATCAGGATTTTAGTCTTCCTGCAACTGCGATTTGCAAACATGGCGCCCTTCTGGTTGTTCATTCTTCTGTAGCAATCTGATTTACACCAGATGATTGCCACTGACAATGCTAGCTATTGAGTACAAGGCATCAATCCTCAAACTGCAAATCCCTCGACTGGTTGACTGATGTAGCTGTGAAAGCTCACGCTGTAGGCTGGAGATTTATTGTTTCAGCATCATGGTAAATACATGCCTCGCACCATAGCCTCTAAGGAGAATACTGTACCACAAGACGACAGCTCTCGAATTTGAAACTGACAAATGTTTCAGATTTCTTCTCCCACTTTATCTCTCGGTGTATCCACTTGTACTATACGTCCTCTCTGAGTTGTGTCTGCTGTCATCAGTTGCTAGCAATCACAGTAAATATGAAGAACATTGCTTCATCCAGAAAAAAACCCCGTTCTGTACGTATGCCTCTCATGGTATATAGACATCAACATTATCAACCAGAGCAGGTCAGCTCCACACTGAAATTTACAGCTCACTTGCTATTCACTGCTCGTCACATGACCACGAGAGGCAGTAATATAAACAGCGTTAGTACTTCTAGATACAGTAATGCAAGATCCAGAATAACACTCAAACACCATGCATCCTGAAAGGGCAACTTACTCTGTGCACCATAATGTAACTGGACAGAGTTTCACAACAGGCTCTTTCTGACTCCAGCTGGATTCCAATATGTTCAAGGTTTAAATAAAGTTATGACAGGATGTATAGGATGTATGTAAGTTGCGTAGGATTTGGTGATGATGGATTGTTGCGGTGCACAAAGAGACACTGATGGACTTGCTACGGGTGCAAATACAGTTCAAATGCAATCTTTCCCAAAGTAGTAATATGTGCAAAGTTTAGGGTTTAGATTTTTTGAGTAATAACTAAATAAATGCAAGGAGAGTTCAGAGAATAAACCAGCAGATCAACTCACACATGATGATGGAGATAAATTGCTAAAGTAGAAGCCTTGCAGACCTTGACATCCTGACCAAGCAAAGTCCCAGTTAATATGCTCTCCCTTTTAATCTCTGAGAATTACTGGCAGCTAGGACACACAGAAATACAGTTTTTAGGAATTCACTGGACCCGCACTTCCATCAGTGTTTCCATCTATAAACATGGACCCTGAATAAGAACAAGCAGATATAGAGAATGGATGCTAACTCAGTTCGCCAATATTGCCCTCTCTCCTTCTTCTTCTTCTTCTTCTTCTTCTTCTTCTTCTTCTTCTTCTTCTTCTTCTTCTTCTTCTTCTTCTTCTTCTTCTTCCTGGTGTACCAGTTGCAACTGATGATTGGCAGGTGGAAGTGAAGCCTTGCTGCTACACCTCATTTTCTCGACCTGTCAGGTTACTAAGTCCCAATATTGAAGGCAAACATACAGCAAATAAGTGGTATATTGCCAACATTGTGATATATAACCATTGCTGCCATGATTATAAATGAACAAGTTCAAATTAAGTGCCATCTAATAAATTATGACCTAAAACGTTTATCACTATTGGTCTTCTTCACAGTCAGATTGCAAAGGGATGTTGAGGGAGCTAAACTCTATTCATGACATAAAGCTGTTACAAAGAATGTGTTTGATGTTAGCTGCAACAAATTAAATTAGTTTAGGTTTTATTATTTGTCTGATGTTAGAGTTTGACATATAAATATGTTTGCCTCATAAGTCGAGGTGAGTGAGGAAGTCATTTGTTTGATAAACCATTCAAAGCCTGCGCACCAGAGTTGAAAATGACAGAGGGATGAATCAGAGCATCAAGGATATTTTCCAGCTTTCTCATGTGCATGTCAAGATGTGTGTGGATCTGGCATCTAGTAGCACATCGTGGTGTTTTTCTTTCCATGTGCTGTTACCCGTGCTCAGGGTACAGGATAGCACTGGCAGCACTGGCAGCAAACCAAGGAGACTGTTTTGTGTGCTGGTGTGAAAAAGTACACCTCAAAAAAGAAAAGAGAAATAACAGGAGAGATGACAGATGGGTGTGCAGTTGTCTAATTTCTGCTGGATTCGTTGTGGCCTGTGATTTCTGTGAGGCCAAGATTTCTTTCTTGTGTTGTGTTGTTTCACACTTCATGTGAATCACCCTGAAACGCAGGAGACATTTTTTCAAGAGCAGAAGAAGAATTCCACATCCTTTCTTGTCTCCTGAGATGAAACATTGAGGACCCAACATAGATAGCGTCTCTATGACTGGTGTTATCCATATGGTTATCTTAGACTTTCAAGGATTAATATACCTTTTCAAGTTTAATGAGATAAGAGGCCTGGGGGAGTTCTCCCCCTGCTGTGTTCAAAGACCATCCGGCCTGAGGAACTGCTTTATCTCAGCCACTGATTGACCTGGCTGATAGGTGATACTGAGGAACCACAGTGGCCCAGGGAAGTGGCCTCTCCACTGAGGAGATGGGGACTGGCAAACTTGGCCTCTGCTGTCTGAGAGAATCCCATCAGTGGGGCTCCGGTGTTCCTGAGATGCCGCCTCCTCCCTTTGATTCCTACGACCAGGCACTTTTACGTGCCTACCTCCCTCACACCGTCCAATCCAGAGCCCATAAAGCAAGTCTGCTGCTCTCAGCTATAGTTGGACAGGACGTGTTGTAAGTGTTGCCTGAATGCACCGCCGGGCAAAATGACACCCAGAAGGCTCGTAAGACTTGTGATTTCTTCTCCAAGCCGGTGCCAAGAGACCATTTTGAGCTCCAGCTCAATTCTCCTAAAATGTTGCCATTTGTGGCTTGTGACCCTGGACCTCTGGGGTTTGTGTCATGATCTATATGGCAGGGCAAACACAGTGTATTATCTAGGATCATAATCGTAAGGGAAACACAGAAAGCCAATAATAATGATCTGAGTGAAACACCACATAATAACCTCCCTCTTCAAAGAAAATTGTTCCCGAAAAAATATTCAGATCTACATCAAATTCTAACCACTTAATAACAATAATTCAACACATATACATTCAACAACACGTTGTCTATATTATGGAAAGCATGACACATTTCTTATTCTGTGGTTTATTTCTACATTTTAAGAGGAGCTTTAAGACAGATAGTAGAGGAATGCAGCCTGAGGGAGCATTGCCCCGGGGAAATATTTTTCAACGAGGGTTTAAGGGCTCTCTCATTATCACTATATATTGAGAGAATAAAAATGTAGGGGCCCCTGAAAAAGTCCCCGGGGGCATCTGC